GATTTGGTGTATTAAAATTTTTCTTTCAGAATTAATTAACGCTATCTAACTTCCACATCTTTCTTGCTGAAATACTTACGAGCGGTCTTATGGTTAAGGTTACTGCACACAGAATTAGAGCACAGGGAGACAATAATTTTATAGCAGTACATTTTTGAAGATTTAAATAAGATAAAGGATTTTCTTTTAAAAGAAATCCATGTACACATTTTTATACGACCGCAAAAAAATTTTTGTGGTCGTATATTGGTATGACTTCGACGTTGGCGTCGTCGTCGTCGTCGTCGTCCTGCAGCGTCGTCGTCGTCTTCCGAAGACACATTGGTTTTCGCACTCTAACTTTAGTTTAAGTGAATGGATCTCTTTCAAATTTTACCATAAGGTTCAATACCACAAAAGGAAGGTGGGGATTGATTTTGGGGGTTATGGTACCAACAGTTAAGGAATTAGGGGCCAAAAATAAGCATTTTCTAGTTTCCAGACAATAACTGTAGAACGGTGTATGGATCTCTCTGAAATTATACTACAAGTTTCCATCCCACAAAGGGATGGTTAGGATTTGCTTTGGGGGTTATGGCTCAAACCGTTTAGGAATTAGGGGCAAAAAAGGGGGAAAAACAAGGTTGTCCTGGTTAATGGACAAATACTTTAGTACAAAACATAATTTAAAGCAGTGTAAGGGAGATAAATCAAATACATCATTTAAATTATCTCCCTTACACTGCTTTTAAATTATGTATAAAGTAATGGTTCATGAACAATTAAGATAATTTAAAACAGTGTAAGGGAGGTAATCCAAATACAACGTTTTGGTTACTTCCCTTACACTGCTTTTAAATTATGTTTAAAGAATTGCATATTCATAAAGGAAGACCAGTTAAAATATCTGCAAATGTTGCATCTTTTTTTTTTACAAAAAAATCCATATGAAAGATTTGACACTATATTTTAAATTCTATTATAAAATAGATTAAGTTAGCACTATGGTAAATTTAAATGGGTACTTATGGTTGCAAACTCCATTGGAAATTTGAATTGAGATTATGACCATATCTTGAGGGAAAGAATTTTTTTGGGGGAAAAAGGGGGGGGGGGGGGGGTAAAACGAAATTGTGGGGAGGGGGGGTCAATTTTTTCTCATTTCAGATTTCAGAAATTAAAAAGAATTATTCTTCAAATATTATCTTTTTTTCAAATTTCAAATATTGAAAAATTTCAAGAAGTAATCTTTAATTGCACAGTATGGCGCATTAGATTTGTAAAATCTTTGACCACATTTATTTATTTGTTATGCCGAATCTAACCGTGTATTTAGATTTTTAATTTTGGGTCCAGTTTTCAAATTGGTCTACATTAAGGTCCAAAGGGTCCAAAATTAAACTTTGTTTGATTTTAACAAAAATTGAATATATGGGGTTCTTTGATATGCTGAATCTAAACATGTATTTAGATTTTTGATTTTTGGTCCAGTTTTCAAGTTGGTCCAAATTGGGGTCCAAAATTAAACTTTGTTTGATTTCAACAAAAATTGAATATATGGGGTTCTTTGATATGCTGAATCTAACCATGTATTTAGATTTTTTATTTGTGGACCCCGCTATCAAATTGGTTCATATTGAGGTCAAAAGGGTGCAAAATTAAACTTTTTTTGATTTCATCAAAAATTGAATTATTGTCTGATATGCCAAATCTAACCGTGTATTTAGATTTTTTATTTTGGGTCCTGTTTTTTAAATTGGTTCACATTAAGGTCCAAAGGGTCCAAAATTAAACTTAGTTTGATTTTAACAAAAATTGAGTTCTTGGGGTTCTTTGATATGCTGAATCTAAACATGTGTTTAGATTTTTGATTATGGGCCCAGTTTTCAAGTTGGTCCAAGTTGGGGTCCAAAATTAAACTTTTTTTGATTTCAACAAAAATTGAATATATGGGGTTCTTTGATATGCTGAATCTAACCATGTATTTTGATTTTGGACATTGGACCATAATAGGTAAATTAAAAAAATTCAAGTTCTTAGACCACATTCTTTCTGTGTCAGAAACCTATGCTGTGTCAAATATTTAATCACAATCCAAATTCAGAGCTGTATCAAGCTTGAATGTTGTGTCCATACTTGCCCCAACTGTTCAGGGTTCCACCTCTGCGGTCGTATCAAGCTGCGCCCAGTGAAGCATTTTATTTATAGTAAAACTAAGCCATTCAAGTTATACTATATAAAATGTATTCCATTTTTTTTCTTCAAAATTTGAAGTATGGTATGACTTTCTTTAACTGTCCTGCTGGAAATACAAAAGTTGGAAGAGAATATTCCTTGCATATAAGATAAACATTTCCCAATTCATTCAGTATTCAAGAGCTTGCAGCTGCTACTCAGACTTTATAAAACGTCACAAGTGTCTGAGCAGAAAGTTGATGTACCAGGGTTATGTGTCAAAGAACATCTCGTTCTTTTTCTAAAAAAAAATAATAGATAGATATTCCGTATCAACTTCAAAAAAATACATGATGGTCTTGAAGTATAGATTCTAGGTACTGATGTTGTTTATCATCTTAATCACGTGTTATAGTGTCCTTTTATTTGTCTTTGTAAATTATTAACCTTTATTGTTTAGTCCATTTTTGTCGAGCCTGCGAAATTTATTTCTGTCGGCGGCGGCAGCAGCGTCGGTATCAACATTTAGGTTCAGTCTGTGGTTAAAAGTTTTTTATGCCCCGCCGTAGTGGTGGGGGCATTAAGTTTTACCCTTGTCCGTCTGTACTTACGTCAGTACGTCCCAAAATTGGTTTCCGTTCTCTAACTTGAGTTTGCCTCAACCAAATGTTATGAAACTTATACACAATGCTTATTACCACAAAACACAGATCAAGTTTGAATTTTGGTGGCGTCACTTTAACCGTTCTAGAGTTATGACCCTTTATAAATGGCAAAATTGTTAGTTTCCGTTCTCTAACTTAAGTTTGCCTCAACCAAATGTTATGAAACTTATACACAATGCTTATTACCACAAAACACAGATCAAGTTTGAATTTTGGTGGCGCCACTTCAACCGTTCTAGAGTTATGCCCCTTTATAAATGGAAAAATTGCAAAATGTTTATATTCTTCTAAATATCAAGTAATTTTTAAAATTGGAGTTATCTTCCTTTGTCCATGATTATAGTTGAATCAACTACTATCAATGCTTTATACAATGCAATGTTCAATTTTGACTTCCACTGATAAAACACAGATCAAGTTGAATTTGGGTAGTGTCACTTTAACCATTATTGAGTTATGCCCCTTTATAAATTGAAAGATTGCAAAATTTTTAGTTTCCATTCTGTAACTTAATGTTGCCCCAACAAAACATTATGAAACCTATACACAATATTCATTACCACAAAACTAAGATCAAGTACAAATTTTTTGTTCCGTTTTCTAACTTTAGTTTGCCTCAACCAAATGTTATGAAACTTATACACAATGCTTATTACTACATAATACAGATTAAGTACGAAATTTGGTGGCGACACTTTTACCATTCTAGAGTTATGTCCCTTTATAAACATAAAAATTGCTGAATTTTTTAGTTTGTCTCAACCAAATGTTATAAAACTTATATCCAACCGTTCTAGAGTTATGCGTGTTTACAAATAGAAAAATTGCTGAATTTTTAGTTTCTGTTCTCTACTTAAGTTAGCCTCAACCAAATGTTATGAGACTTACACACAATGCTTATTACCACTAAACTCAGATCAAGTTCAAATTTGGGTAGCGTCACTTTTACTGTTCTTCAGTTATGTCCCTTTATAACTATATGATATGCAAGTGGGGGCATCATCTGTGTCCACATGTGGACACTATCCACATTTATTTGGACATCAATAACTTTGTCAAACCTACATGGAATTAGATGAAATTTGGACAGAAGCTTGTTTATGACTAAAATTTTGAAAATTTCTATTTTCATTTTTCCATATTTTACTGATAAATGGACTTAGTTTTTTAACATTTAACAAATAGATACAGGATGTGGTTAAAGTTTGTTACACATCAAATACTTTGTCAAACCTTCAAAGAATTTTATGAAACTTTTTTATGATTAAGAGATAATGTCTGAAGCACACTGATAGATGGACTTTTTTTACATTTAACATTTACTGACAGTCTGGGATTAAATTTTTTTGACATGATAAGTTTGTTAACCATCGTGGATTGTTATGAAACTTGGACAGAAGCTAATCTTCAAGACCAAGAAAAAGCATCTAAAGAGAAAGTTTGAATCTTTTTTAACATTCTGTATTTTACTGATAAATGGACTCCCATTACACTTTTACACTGACAGCTGCAATCGTAGGCAAGACACAGGGTTCCGCGGAACCCCTTACAAATTTTTGGTAATATCCTTTTGGCGTGGCTAGGTACTTATGCATCCCGCTAATGTGTTATTGTGCTGTGGTCATTTTTTGTATTCTTGTCTTTCAATTTTGCTTATGTGCCATGTCTATATGCCATTTTGTTTTTCTTTGTTGACATATTTGTTTGTTTTTATAGTGATTAAGATTATAACACAATGTTGACTGCTGTACCCCTATTTTTGACATTTTTACTTATTATGTCTGTTTGTTTTGTTCACACATTGTTGTCAATATAATGTAATTTTATGCGACTGTTATACAAGTGAGAGGTTTAGGTAGCTATAAAACCAGGTTTAATCCACTATTTTCTACATAAGGAAATGCCTGTACCAAGTCAGAAATATGACAGTTGTTTTCCATTCATTTGATGTGATTGAGCTTTTGATTTTGCCATTTGATAAGGGACTTTCCGATTTGAATTTTCCTTGGAGTTCGGTATTTTTGTTATTTTACTTTTTTTATAAATGCATTCTTGAAAAGGAGACTAATTTCAATGTTTCAAAATGAAGCATTGATGAATTTTTGAATAACAGTAACTGGAAGATTTATAAACATTTTTCTCATCATATAGAATAGGGAGAACATTTTTTTGTCATTTTAGAAATCATGAACATTTTACTACCTCACCAAAAAAACATGGGTTGGATATGGATCAAGTTAGAGACACATTTGGAAAACTTGCTCATATTTCAAATGTACCTACCATTCAAAAGGTAAGTTATTATTGTGCTTCCATAGCAAAGACCAGGTCTAGTAACCACTCCACTCTGTCCTTCTCCCCAACTGTCCATCTGTCAATCAACATATAAAGGGTACCTAGTTCATATTTATAATTCCCAACATTTTATTTGAAAAATGTAGCTGTATATATAAATAAGGAGATGTGGTATGAGCTAGTGAGACAACTATCCGCCAGAGGCCAAATGACGTAGATGTAAGAAACTACAACTTCCAACAATGAGCAAAACCCATACCGCATAGCAAGCTAATTAATTTTCACCCTCCCACACACTTCTCTGGTACCCAGACCGGAGTTTTAACTAGAATGGGTACTTTTGGGGCCTCGGTTGGGCAAAGTTGCCCCCTACTTTGACCTGGAGATCAATTTTCTGATATCTCTACGGTTTGTTTGTTCCTGCCGAGTGCCCTGTAGGTTCTCTTCGAGAACTTCAGCTTCCTCCACCATAATAACAGACTTCCGGGTGTCCTAGCACTCACTTTGTGTTAGGGTAAATATTGTTGTTGCTTTAGTGACACATCTCCATTAATCCCGATAGGGAGTGTACACGGATTCCACTGTACCCTCGCAGCTCTTGAGGGGTTCTCCAAATAACGGAGGAATCTACCAGTACATACATACATACATGCTATAAAAGGTCATGAAATAACAAAATCTAAAACAATTCAAACAAATAAAGCAATGCCCTGATTTATATACAAAACAACAAACAAACAACAAATATGATGTACAGCAACAACCAGTGAATTACAGGCTCCTGAAACAGGCACATACAGAATGTGGCCGGTTTAAACATGTTTGTCAGAGCCCAGCCCTCCCCTTACCCGGGACAATGGTGTAACAGCACAACATAAGAACAAACTATTAAAATTAGTTGAAAAGGGCTTGACTCATGAGATCAATACAAAACACAAAACACAACTAACATTAACACTAAAGACAGAAAATACAGATCTGAAAGTACTCACAATTACCAAAAGCTATTTCCAAGCCTATAACAACTAATTAAAAAAACATGTATCCAAGACAAAATATCAATCATTATTTCTTGTGAAGCAAGAATCTTGCAATCTGATTGGTTAATTACTCTGGTGTAAAAAACACCCAACCACAGTTCACTGGGGAATAAAGATTAGAAAAATATTTTTTTTTTAGAAACTTTAAAAAAATTAAAAAAATGCAAAAATTACAAAAAAAATTTTTTTTTTCAAAATGATGTTTTCTTATTCCAGAAATAATATTTGTTTTCCCAAAATCCTCAAAATGAAATAAAAGAGGTAGTATTTGACAATGAACAACAACATTGGCGTTGAAAAATGTGTTCTTCATACAATTTTTTAAATTTTATACCCCGTTATCAATATGAGTAAAGATATGCTTCATAAGAAATAAATCCGTTATCTTGGTGCACCTCAGGGTGTATGAATTATCAACACCGGTGTAAAATTCTGTACACCCTTTATTACACCAAGATAACTTATAGAACACATTGTAGGGATTTAGTGTAAAGACAGTCTTAGGAAAACTGTAAAGCAATACATATCTATTTATGTTTTAATTTATTACTTATTGATTACAAAATCAATGTTAGGACTGATGAAAACAATATTCAAAGATCTTATTACAATAACGAAGTTATCTTATGCCCTACACTGGTAGCTAAAAAAATCTTCTTTCCTAGAATCTTACAGGAACCATTTTATGCTTAATATAAAGGAACAAGATTTATTAGCAAATTTGGCTTGGCTTTTATAACATGTTATTTAGCTGATTATGATGGTAAATCAAGAAAGTGACAAAATAGATGTCCGAATTCAATTTCGCTTCATTTTCCTCTCTTAGTTGTATTTTCTATTATATTATGCATCGCATAAAAATTGTAGTTTTTATCAGTGATTTTGCCGGCTCTTTATTTTCGCCATTTACTAAACAATTTTTTAAAGAGGTATGTATTTCTGATCAATTTCCTCACTTAAATTTGTAACAAGTAAAAAAAAAAAAATGTATGTAATTTTACTTGTCATTTTTATACGCCCATTTACGGGACGTATTATGGTATACCGTTGTCCGTCTGTCCGTCCGTCGTCAACATGTCGGACATTAACTCAAAAACGCTTTAACAAATTTGCATAAAACTTTGGTGAATTGTTTATATCTATTGACCTGAGCTCCCTTTCGTTTTTTATAAATTTTAGATTTTATGTTTCCAAGTTATGGGGTTTTATTCATTAAAAAAAGGGGGATTTTCCAGTTTTCGGACAAAAACTCGAGAATGCTTTCACCAACTTGCAAGAAATTGTGGTGAATTGTTTATATCTATTGACATAAGCTCCCTTTCGATTTTTATAAATTTTAGATTTTATGTTTCCGAGTTACAGGGTTTTATTCATAAAAAAGGGGGATTTTCCAGTTTTCAGACAAAAACTCAAAAATGCTTTCAGCAGTTCTTATGAAACTTTGGTGAATTGTTTATATCTATTGATGTAAGCTCCCTTTAGAATTTTATAAATTTTACATTTTACATTTCTGAGTTATGGGGTTTTATTCATTAGAAAAGGGGGGATTTTCCAGTTTTCGGACAATAACTCAACAATGCTGTCAGCAATTCTCATGAAACTTTGGTGATTGTTTATATCTATTGATGTAAGCTCCTTTTTGATTTTCATAAATTTCTAATATGACATTGAGAATTAATTGAACTTTATTTGTTTATAGTCTGAGAACAGATTTACTAAGTATTGCACAACAACACAGTGTATTGCACAACAGCAAGACATCTTTAATTGAATATAAATTCAATTCATATAACCAATTTCAAGTTCTTTGACTTCAATTATTCAGAAACCTATAATATGTCAAATATTTAATAACAATCCAAATTCAGACCTGTATCAAGCTTGAATATTGAGTCCATTTTTGCCCCAACCATTCAGGGTTGGACATCTGCGATTGTATCCAGCTGCACTCAGGGAAGCAGTTTATTACAAGTTTATGACCCCAAGCTGGTGTCATAATTTTTTGATACAGGTAGTCTGCTTATCCATTTAAATTTCTGCATTTTTTGGATGAGTTCTGGGACTTGTAACATTTTTGGTCCCTAAAGCCAAAGAAAGAAGTGATTGGGATTGATGAGAACATTCAGAGGGAATATTATTAAAATTATTAAAATCATTGCATTCGAATTTCCAAGATTCAGGCAAATGAAGAGCAAAAACTTAAACTCAATAATTATATTCTCCATTTGTGAATATGCACCATATTAAGGAGATTGGAAGTTTTTAAAGTTCAAAAACTATATTTAGATTGAATCAAATAGCATATACATGTGCAGTTATTATTATTTTTGAGGAAGAATACTAATATTAATGGAAACAATACTGATCTTATCCCTCAGAGGGATCTAGCTCTTTGATTAACAAATTGGCCTGCTTTTGCCAATTATCCTGAAAATTATAAAAGATACATGAAGGTAGAAACTGTTATAACTGGCAAAAATGATCAGTAATACCAACCCCTACAAATATAACAATATGACCTAAATTATCAAATGACTCCTTAAAGAGTTATTATTCTTGAATTATGTTTTTTATATTTTTGAATTATCTCGAAAACTATAATGGATAGGTACAAACTGTGCACTACAAAAAAGATCAGCAGTTAATTAAATATCTATGAAAATAACAGCTGATAGCAATGAATAGATAAAGCAAATGAAGACAACAACTCTAGACAAAATTCAAGTGGTCACTTTTAGTTCTTTTAAAAGTTGCAAAATATTCTTGTACATATTTTTATCCAGTCATGATGGATATATGTGATCACTCAGGATTTTAAGATGGTGCAAAATTCTGAGTTAAAGACATATCATGAATTTGATGATGTGTTTTATGACTTGCAGAAAGTCTATATGGAAATTTAAAAAATTGAATTAGAGTTTATACATTCTATTATAAATACCTATGGTCTGTACTGGTCTGTACCTTCCCTGGTTTTTATACGCCCGTCAAATTTTTGACGGGACGTATTATGGTATACAAATGTCCGGCGTCCGTCCGTCTTTCTGTCCGTCTGTCCGTCCTTTTGTCTGTCCGGCGTAAACATGTCGCACCCTAACTTGAGAATGACTTATCCAAATTTCATGAAACTTAATATAGTTGTTTCTTATGATTGTCAAACGATCTGTATACTTTTTGGTGAAAATAAGATTAAAACTTTTTGAGTTACGGGACTTAGTAACTAAAACAGGTGTGTGTTTTTTTTCACATGTCGCGCAGTATCTCAAAAACAATTTATGATTATTGCTTAAAACTTTACACACTTCTTAGTTATATTAATCTTAAGATCTGTATACTTTTTGGTGATGATTCAAAATTTTATTTTAGAGATATTGAGTATTTTGTTAAAAAAGGGGGAGGGGTTTTTCACATGTCGCACCGTATCTCAAAAACAGTTTATGATTATTGCTTAAAACTTTACACACTTCTTACTTATATTAACCTGAAGATCTGTATAGTTTTTGGTGATGATTCAAAATTTTATTTTTGAGTTATTGAGTATTTTGTAAAAAAAGGGGGAGGGGTTTTTCACATGTCGCGCCGTATCTCAAAAACGATTTATGATTATTGCTTAAAATTTTACACACTTCTTAGTTATATTAATCTTAAGATCTGTATACTTTTTGGTTTTGATTCAAAATTTTATTTTTGAGATATTTATTTATTTTTTTTTAAAAGGGGGGGTTTTCACATGTCGCGCCGTATCTCAAAAACGATTTATGATTATTGCTTAAAATTTTACACACTTCTTAGTTATATTAATCTAAAGATCTGTATACTTTTTGGTTTTGATTGAAAATTTTATTTTTAGATATATTGAGTTTTTTGTAAAAAAAAAGGGGGGTTTTTCGCATGTCACGCCGTATGTCAGAAACTATTTATGCTTATTGCATAAAAATTCACACACAAGACGACAGGC